CTGTTTTGGATGGTAACTTCTGTTGTTTCGAGCTGATGTAATTCATAAAGGAGGTGTGGAATTGCTCCTTCTATTCAGTTTGAAGAAGAGTGCTTAGTCCTTCTGCTGGACATAACCAGCTGTGGAATTTATGCACCATGTAAAATACTGCCTTGGTGACAGCCACTAAATTCTTCCAACATAACTGTTTTCTCTTTCTCACTTCCTTTTCTTTATATGCAAATAAAAAAAAATCCCGAAGCACATTTTGTTTAAAACTGTGCCAGAGTCCCTAATCTGTCTCTAATCTACAGATAGAAAACTTTTTCCATATAGCTTTTTAATGTGCTGCCTCTGATAAAACATTCCAGTATTGCCACATCTTGTAAAATTCTGTCTGTAACTGCATAGTTTCGTCAGGACTAGCTGATTTCTGCTTTAATTTTCACTTGCCTCCAAATATACGTAAAATACAGTACAAGTTAGCGGAGTCAGTCTGTTGTAGTTTGCACTGCTGCTTCTTAGAAAATGCCACCGGGAGTTGGGCTCTGGGAGTAGCTGAGGTGATAAAGCCACTGGCAGCTTGCAGCATGACTTTTTTTTTTTCTTCGTAGTGAAGGAAGCCTGCTCCTGTTTCCACAAAGAAAGAAATCAAACTTCCTTACTTTTGAATCACTTTGTCCCTTTAATTATAATTCACGAAAGGGAAGCATTTTACCTGCATTGAAAACCAACCAGCAGAGGTTGCCATTGATTTTTCTGTTACCTCTTACCTGCTTAGCAGTATCCGGATTTCTTGTACAAGACCCGAAATATTTGGCTGACATGAGTGCTTGTTATCAGAGTTCGGTACTCTGAGCACATAGTAATAGGCACTGCAGTTTTGTACATCAGCTGGATCTGACCGGTGAGCAAGGTGACTCAGTGGTTGCCGTAATATTTGGAAGCTTTAGTAGTTGCCAATATTCAAACCTGTATCGAGCAGAAGGCACTGAGCATGTAGTTTCTGTGGTCCGCTTAATTTTAGGCTTTACCTTTCCTTATCTAACATGCCCTCATGTCTTTGAGACTTTCAGACATCCATTTTAAGATGTTTTGGCCCTTTGTTTCTCTGGTGCCCGCCACGAACTGGCCCAGGGAGGGGAGGGAGAGGTACTGGTTGCTGCCATGCCTGTGCACACCGTTGTTTGTTCTCCTCCTCCTCCCCCACAGGAGGAGTGGGAAGGGAAGGAGTAAAAACTGCTTCCTATTGTTCCGCCCGTGGTATGGATAGCTATGGCTTAAAGCTGTACTGAGGGACTAAATTTAGTAATTAAATCTGTTGTCGCAGCCATTTACAGTTCTGAGGTATCGGAATGATTTTAATTTTTTCTTAAACCCTTCGATGGAAGAATTTGGAATTATCGCATGCCGTTATTGCAAACCACTCTCACACTGCTGCATTTTATGCTGCTTCACATTTCTACAGACTTGTCATTCAGCCTTGAATATTTGCTCCAGGCTATACTTGAAATACAAGATGTTAACCCAGGAGCAGCTTATTAAAATTTTGCCTGTAGTTTGCCTTGGAACTAAAAGAATTTAAATCACTGTAGTTTCTAATGACTTGGTTTGTTCAAGCTTCTGATACCATTCTTGACACATGTATTTTGCTGATCTGTAGCCCAAAATACTGTTTCGTGGTTGGTATCTTGGTATCTAGATTTGCTGTTTCTCTCTGTGTCTAAGAACGTATGGAGTGTCTCTGTAAGATAACTCTGATGATTGTAGTTCTGTTACCGGTTTTATTTTTTAGGAAGCATGAAATAAACAAAAGTTCTGAGTCCTTAATCAGGGAATAACAGCATCCTTTTGCATGAAGGGAGAGATCAGTTAATTGGGTTAAAAAGTCTGTGCTTTGAAAAATAATGTGTTTCTTGCAAGTGTCTGTATTAAAACCAATGTTTGCAATCGGTTGGAGCAATTAAAAATTGGGTACAGTATTGAAACCAGTCGCAGATGAGTTTTAAAATTAATCCGCCTGAAGTATGAAAATAATTAATTTTTAGGGGACTGCAGTTTTGTCTTTTAAGCAGGACAAAATTTGTGTCAAACCACGGCAAATATACATTGTCTGTAAATGTTTAGTTTTGTACAATAAGATGCATATGAAATCAGTAATCTGGGCATAACTCTTAATAAACATTTTTAGTTAGGCGGTGATGGCGGTTTCTAAAATAACCTACACAACTGTAGTCAGTTGGGTGGACCTGATTTAAGTGTTTGGTTTGTGTTGGTTTGGTTTCTCTCTTTTTTTTTTTTTTTTTTTTGGGGGGGGGGGGTATATCCTGTGGACTTCAAACATTATTTAATTCTTTAGCATTCAGTGCGGTTTGTCCGCATCGATCTGGAGTTCAGCTGTCTGAAGGAGTAGGTCGCAGGACTTTCACGCTGGCACCGAGCCAGCCGCCCCCAGCTGCTTTCACTCCGCAGGGATCTCCTGGCTCTGCGAAGCTTCACGGGGTCTGTGGGGTGAGTACCCGCTCCTCGCCGGCCG